TTCCAGTTTGATACACATTTTAGTGCTGTATCAATATAACACTTCTATATAAATAAGCACACATAAAAGTGATGCTAATGGAGTCCATCCCCTATCTCCTCCCAAACAAAATCCGGTTTAGAGGTCCATCATGTTGTACAATAATTATGTGAAATTGATTTTTTGCTGAAGTTTATTGTTTGCTTTGAAAAAAAAAATGTTCCATATAAGATATATAAATATCTAAGAATCCTTTTTATGTACTTAGCCCCTTTGCAGACACATTAGAAACTCATTCATAGAGATTTGATTACTTAGAAACTCATGCTAGATAACTTCACCAATTTAAAAATAATGCCTCTTAAACTACAAGTTTTTTGTTCAACAACAACCATTGATAATGTAGTCCTTCAATTCTAGTGTTGGGATCAACCTTGATATACATTGATATAGGCCTGTCATGATTTCTTTGTCCTTTGCAGCATTTGGATCTTTGTAAAACAAACTAGGATTTAAATAAAACCTAGCAGCATGCAAAAAGTGATGCAATTGAATGTTCCACCTTTGATCAATGATTTCAAAGATCTCTTTATACTTCTCTTCCTTTCCATCGAATGCATTTGCAATAGCTTCTTTAGCCCTATCCATAGCCTCGTAAATATATCCCATTGGAGGCTTTTCTTCACCATCAACCATTCTTAGTACATGAACAAGAGGACATGAAAACTGCAGGGCAAGGTGAACATGATTCCAAAATGAAGGCATTAGCATTATTTGAGCTGTCTTCTTACCCTGTGGCTCCTTCGCCCATTTGCTTTTGGTCCACTCCTCCGAAGTAAACATCTTCCTCAAGTTGTTCCTTTGTTGATAAAGTCTTTGCAAAGTTAAGAAAGCTGTTGCAAATCGGGTTTTAGCAGGCTTCACTAACTCCTTCAATTGAGTGAAACTCCTCATCATATTCAACAAAGATGGTCGGTTATAAATGTAAACCATGTACCCCAATTGCCCTTTCAAATGTCTTCTTAAAATTGGGTAATTTGAAAATGTCTTCCAACATTAAGGCCTAGTTTGGGAAGATTGAAAAAAGACAAAAAGTCAAAAAGTCACTATCCTATTTAAGTCACATTATCTTATTTAAGTCACATCACCTCTCTAATACATCACTTCAAACCCAACCCAAACCCAACCCATATTTCATAAAAAGTCAAAAAGTGCACTTATTTAGTCTTCCCAAACTAGGCCTAAATCCATGCAATGGGCTGCACAAGGTGTCCAATACAAGTGGGGTCTCTTTGCCTCCAAAAACTTCCCTATAAGATTACAAGTTGCAAGTTTATAACATACTACTTTAAACAAATAGATTATAGAACCAAAACAAAAGCACACTATTTGCAATAGAGCTAGAGGATTTTCCCTGCCAATACATTTGCTGCAGCACTGTCAGTGACAATTTGGACCACATTAGCTTCTCCAATTTTGTCAACAAACTTGTCAAGCAAGCTAAAAATCTTGTTTGCATCCTTTGAGTAACTAGATGCATCAATAGACTCAAGAAACATGGTTCCTCTAGGACAATTCACCAAGAAATTAATCAAAGTTCTATGCTTCCTATCCGTCCACCCATCACACATTATAGAACATCCATACTTTGCCCAATCCTCTTTGTGCTCCTTCATCAACTGATGGACATGATTCACTTCTTTCTTGAGATAAGGAATCCGTATCATGTGGTAACTTGGTGGTTTCAAACCTGGACCAAATTGTCGTATGGCTTCAATCATTGGTGCAAAACTTTCATTATTGACTACATTAAACGGAATTCCAGTATCATATATCCATCTTGCAATTCTGACATAGGCCCTCTCCATTAACTCTTTTCTATAAGGATCATTTTCATCAATTTTAATTTGCTTTCCCTTGCCTTTTGTTTTTTGCACCACTAACTCTGGCTCAGGTGTGAAGAAACAATCCATGCCTAGTTGTGCTTGATCTAGTTCTTTGGTTACTCTCCTCAACTCCAGTAGCTACAGCAACATCATCCCACCCCAAAGAATCATCATCAAACACAAGCTCATTCTCCATCCTCCCAATCAACCATTCATTGCTCTCATCAATATCTTTCAAAGAGATGGGATCAATATTGGCACGTTTCATGTATCGACGCTTCAATGCTCTATTATACTTCACAAACACCAAATCATTGAGACGTTTTTGAGAGAGAAGAGAAGAAGAGAAGCAGAACAGTCAAGGCAGAAGACAAGAACGAAGCCAAAAAAAACAAAAAAAAAAATAGAGTAGAACAGAGGCAGATAAGTGAACTAGAGAAGAGAAGAAGAGAAGAAAAGGAGAAGAGAAGAAGAATCGAACCAGAGGAGAAGAGGAGAAGAATCAAACCAGAAGAAAAAAAGAAGAAAAAAAAAAAAAAAAAGGGGAAAAAAAAAAACAGAGTATAATAGAGGTAGAGAAGAGAAGAAGAGGAGGAGGAGAAGAATCGAACCAGAGGAGAAGAGGAGAAGAATCGAACCAGAAGAAAGAAAGAAAAAAAAAAAAAAAACAGGGTATAACAGAACCAGAAGAGAGAGAAGAGAAGAAGAGGAGAAGAGGAGAAAAGAATAGTCGAAGCAGAAGAGAAGAGAACCAAAGAAGAGAGAAGAGGAGAAGAGAGAGAGGAGAAGAGAACCTGTGTATTTGGCGTGTGTTATACTCTTCTTCACGTCGCTGCTTCTTTTTCTTCTTCTCCACTAGGGCTTTTTTAAATGTTGTTGCTCTACTGACCCACGTTTGTATCATTTTATAATGTAAATGAGATGTTATCCCATGTGGGTATCCACACAGTAAACAAATGGGGGCTGCTGGAGTGAAAAACATTTGAAGCTCATGAAGCGCACGCCTCGAGCTTTATAATAAAGCGCGCGCTTTGTCGCCTAAGCTACGCCTCGCCCATGTCGCCTCGCCTCGCCTCACCCATGTCGCCTCGCCTCGCCTCACCCATGTCGCCTCGCCTCGCCATGCTTGAGGCGCAATGTTGCGCTTCATCTTGCCTTCGGCTTAGGCGCGCGCCTAAGCGCTCTTTTTAAAACACTGATGCATTATACTTTGCTTCAAATCCTCCTAGAATTTCTTTATAAAATCTTTGATCATAACAAACTTTTAAAGTTTATGCACAAAACATTAAAAATTGATACGGTATTAGTTGATTAGTAGTGGCTGGGAATGATGCAATTTTATGTATTATGCAAATTGCAATTGACAACTTGCCTCAATTGAGAATTTTTTTTCCTTTACTGTTGGCAATTAACTTTAAATCTTTCTTTGGTCTCTTGTTATTTCTTTGGTCTCATCCTATAAAAATAGCAAATTGATGAGCAAAAATAAAGATTTTAAAAATAAATTATGATAACAAATTCACAATGCATAACATGTCAAAGTGAGAGATTTCACAAATATTATTTTCAACTCTTAATGGTTTTAAATTATAGGAAAATGAGTAGTTCTCTTTTTAGTTTTAATATTTAATTTTAATTTGTAGGTTGGATCCTTTAACCATAATTATATATAAATATATATATATATATATATCGGTGTACCGCAGCTGTACCCGTATCATACTTTTTTTGAGTTTTGCCAAATCGGCATACCCGCACCCATACCGTACTCGTACCCACACCCGTGCTTCCTTGTTTATCATATATTTGATATACATATAATAAACATTTTTTATTTTATTTGATGTCTTCTCAAATAAAATAGGACTTCTTCTTTTGTTATTTGAGATGTTAAAATCATCGAGATTTTGTTAAATAATGGATAGATAGTTTGAATTATTAGGTTAATTTTTTTTTTTTTTTCCATTCTACTTCCAACAAACTCAACATGTCATTGACATAAAATGACTTCTTATTTTCTTCGCAAAATAAATTTTAGAAAGCATTTCCTTTTATTATGTGTATTTTATTGTCATTTCATTTCTCATTGGTTGAGAGTTCCATAGACTAGACTTCAATTTCATGATGGTTTATTGCGATAACATATATGATATGGAATAGTTTTGAAATATTGATAATTGATTTTTTTTAATTTTTTTAAACTAAAGTCTTGTGTACCAAACCGATCCAATTCAATAATTTACTTTAGTATTGGCCCCTATCAGCCAAAATTCTGGCTCTGTCACTAAGTTCAGCAAGAATTAGTAGTCCTATCATTCAAGTGTTGTTTATTCTTCCTGAGAAATTTATAAGAAAACAATTTATAATTGCTTTAAGGTTTTTTTTTTTAACTGGCAGGCAATGCTTCAAATACATGAACATATGCATAAGATATGGAAGAATCAAGTTGAGGAGAAGTCTTTGCAGTCTGGCATTTCTAATTGGATCATGAATCTTCCCTTTGACATAAAAGTTAAGGAATGGATAGATGCAGAAGAAAGATATAAGCAAGAAGTACAGATGAAAAATATACTTCCTGCTGTAGCAGATAAGTTCCTTGTTGATCGACAAGCAGATCAAAGAGGTGCTAGCATCCTATGCTTTGATGAGATACAGGTGAGATGTTTGATGTCTTAAATGTGTTTGATTGATAGTGTGAAATAACAAAGTGTATATTTCTATATTAGTACATTATCAGTCAAATCTATTCTGGAATATCCCTTTTTTAGTTTTAGCATACACAAACAATCACATAAACAATCACATACAGCCAGTTCTTGGTATTAAAGTAAGAAGCACTGACACTTCTACTAAGGTTCCGTGATTGTGTCATGTGTCTGACACAAGGTTTTAAAAAGCGGCCGCAACCGTTACGTAACGCCGTTACGTAACGGTTTTGGCGGTTACCGCCACCCGTTACGGCCGCTTTTGCAGTGTGATTGAGATTCACAGGTGTGTCGGCCGTAGTGGCTGCCGTAGCGGTCGTAACGGTGCTGTAACAGCCGTAACGGCCTGTTACGCACCGTTACGTAACGGTTCCAAGCTGTTTCTTCCGAAAAAACACACAAAAAAAAAGCTAAAAATGGGGGAAGAGGGATAGAGAGAAGAGAGAAGATAAAGAGAGAAAATGGAGGAGCAAGAGATAGAGAGAGAGAAGAGGGAAGATGAAGAACATATTATTAATTTGTTGAAAACCTACACCTCGAGGAAGCTCGCGGACACCTGTCTGACATCTCCATTAATGTGTCCCAATTTAAAGATACATTAGATTTATTTAGACACTCTTCATAGACATCTCAAACACTTCCCAATAAAACTCAAAGCATCCAACATTTCTTTATCTTTAAGAAAATTTGACATTTAACATTATACACAGCAATGAAAAGTCAAGCATTGCAATGGCAAAATGTATGATAGAAACACAATTACGAATTTAAAAATATGTTAAAAGAGCATTAACATACAACTTAACTTAATAAGCCTTTGTCTCAATTACTTGGGATGGCCCATAGATCCATTTCCTCCAATTGGGTCTATTAGCTGTCATATCCTCTAACTAAGTTTAAAATAGTCATGTTCTTTTTTATAACCTCAACCCAAGTTCTGGAAGGCCTTTCTCTATTTTGTTTTCCACCCTCCACATGGATCAAATCACTTCTCCTTGTAAGTGCTTTATTTGGTCTACAATGTACTTGACCAAACCATCTCAAACGGGTTTTCCTCATCTTATCTTCAATTTGGTGCAACTTCTAACTTCTAACTTCTTAATCTGTTAATTTCTTACTTTATCTTTTCTTGCGACATCGCTCATCCTTCTCAGTATTCTCATTTCAACTACACTCATTTTTTTGAATATGTTTTTACTTAACTACACAACATTCAATACCATAAACTATAGAAGGTCTTATGGAAGTCCTACAAAATTTTTTGTTCAATGTTATAGGATTCTACAATCACATGGCTCTTGATATACTTCTCCATTTCATTCATCCCACCCTAATTCGATGACCCAAACCCTCCTTAATCTCTCCACCTTTATGAATAATTTGATCCAAGATATCGAAAATGATCAATTTTAGATATCTTATGCTCATCAAGTTTTACTTTACCTTTATCCTTATTTCTTGTTTTGCTAATATTGCACTTCATATATTCAATGTTAGTCCTACCCTTTAGATTCTAGAGTGTCTGTTTTCCTACGATTCAAGCTTGTAGTTTACTCCTCTTATTTCGTCGTCTAAAATTGTCTAATCTGCAAATAACATATTTCATGGGATATCCTCTTGAATGTTCCTGGTAAGTTCATCCATGAAAAATGCAAAAAGGTAAGGAGTTAGTGTTGATCCTTGATGCAAACCTATTATTATTGGAAATTCACTTGTTTTTCTCCTTCTGTTTTCACACTAGTCATGAATCTATCACACCTGTCTTTTCACTGATTCTTATTTTCTTCGCAAAATAAATTTTAGAAAGCATTTCCTTTTATTATGTGTATTTTATTGTCATTTCATTTCTCATTGGTTGAGAGTTCCATAGACTAGACTTCAATTTCATGATGGTTTATTGTGATAACATATATGATATGGAATAGTTTTGAAATATTGATAATTGATTTTTTTTTAATTTTTTTAAACTAAAGTCTTGTGTCCCAAACCGATCCAATTCAATAATTTACTTTAGTATTGGCCCCTATCAGCCAAAATTCTGGCTCTGTCACTAAGTTCAGCAACAATTAGTAGTCCTATCATTCAAGTGTTGTTTATTCTTCCTGAGAAATTTATAAGAAAACAATTTATAATTGCTTTAAGGTTTTTTTTTTTTTAACTGGCAGGCAATGCTTCAAATACATGAACATATGCATAAGATATGGAAGAATCAAGTTGAGGAGAAGTCTTTGCAGTCTGGCATTTCTAATTGGATCATGAATCTTCCCTTTGACATAAAAGTTAAGGAATGGATAGATGCAGAAGAAAGATATAAGCAAGAAGTACAGATGAAAAATATACTTCCTGCTGTAGCAGATAAGTTCCTTGTTGATCGACAAGCAGATCAAAGAGGTGCTAGCATCCTATGCTTTGATGAGATACAGGTGAGATGTTTGATGTCTTAAATGTGTTTGATTGATAGTGTGAAATAACAAAGTGTATATTTCTATATTAGTACATTATCAGTCAAATCTATTCTGGAATATCCCTTTTTTAGTTTTAGCATACACAAACAATCACATAAACAATCACATACAGCCAGTTCTTGGTATTAAAGTAAGAAGCACTGACACTTCTACTAAGGTTCCGTGATTGTGTCATATGTGTCTGACACCTACACCTCGAGGAAGCTCGTGGACACCTGTCTGACATCTCCATTAATGTGTCCCAATTCAAAGATACATTAGATTTATTTAGACACTCTTCATAGACATCTCAAACACTTCCCAATAAAACTCAAAGCATCCAACATTTCTTTATCTTTAAGAAAACTTGACATTTAACATTGTACACAGCAATGAAAAGTCAAGCATTGCAATGGCAAAATGTATGATAGAAACACAATTACGAATTTAAAAATATGTTAAAAGAGCATTAACATACAACTTAACTTAATAAGCCTTTGTCTCAATTACTTGGGATGGCCCATAGATCCATTTCCTCCAATTGGGTCTATTAGCTGTCATATCCTCTAACTAAGGCCTCGTTTGGGGAGTGGCTATTTTAGCCAAAAAGCCAACTAAAACTAGTCACATCACCTCTCTACTTTTCTGCACATCTTTTCGTAAAAAGCCAAAAAGTTACTAAAATAGCCTGTTCCCAAACGAGGCCTAAGTTTAAAATAGTCATGTTCTTTTTTATAACCTCAACCCAAGTTCTGGAAGGCCTTTCTCTATTTTGTTTTCCACCCTCCACATGGATCAAATCACTTCTCCTTGTAAGTGCTTTATTTGGTCTACAATGTACTTGACCAAACCATCTCAAACGGGTTTTCCTCATCTTATCTTCAATTTGGTGCAACTTCTAACTTCTAACTTCTTAATCTGTTAATTTCTTACTTTATCTTTTCTTGCGACATCGCTCATCCTTCTCAGTATTCTCATTTCAACTACACTCATTTTTTTGAATATGTTTTTACTTAACTACACAACATTCAATACCATAAACTATAGAAGGTCTTATGGAAGTCCTACAAAATTTTTTGTTCAATGTTATAGGATTCTACAATCACATGGCTCTTGATATACTTCTCCATTTCATTCATCCCACCCTAATTCGATGACCCAAACCCTCCTTAATCTCTCCACCTTTATGAATAATTTGATCCAAGATATCGAAAATGATCAATTTTAGATATCTTATGCTCATCAAGTTTTACTTTACCTTTATCCTTATTTCTTGTTTTGCTAATATTGCACTTCATATATTCAATGTTAGTCCTACCCTTTAGATTCTAGATTGTCTGTTTTCCTACGATTCAAGCTTGTAGTTTACTCCTCTGATTTCGTCGTCTAAAATTGTATAATCTGCAAATAACATATTTCATGGGATATCCTCTTGAATGTTCCTGGTAAGTTCATCCATGACTAATGCAAAAAGGTAAGGAGTTAGTGTTGATCCTTGATGCAAACCTATTATTATTGGAAATTCACTTGTTTTTCTCCTTCTGTTTTCACACTAGTCATGAATCTATCACACCTGTCTTTTCACTGATATTATTCTCTACATTTCTTCTTCTTTTTTTTATATATATTTTTATTTTATAATAAATTAAAAAAAAAATTATCTAAAATTATCCCAACTCCATTCCTGTGTTTCTCTTTTTTAGTGTACCGAAGTTTTTATCATGTTCTATTAATCTCTCTAGAAATTCGCTCTACTTATTTAGTTTCTTGTAAATAAATAATAATAATTCTCCTCCTAATCATAACATTTACTAATTTCATCCCTTTACAATTAATGTTCCTTTGTTCCAAGTTTCTAAGCGTGTTCTACTCACTTGGATTATCTTCTTCACCCGCTAATGTCATTAAAGTACAGGAACTCTACCTACTTTTCATTACATCCGAGTGCCGTTGTGGCGCGTTGCTTGGGGGAGCACTAACCCTTGTTCATGTAGTTGGTTAGAATTGCTAGAAGAAACAAAAGGTGTAGAAGAATAGGAAAATGAAGACAAAAGAAATGCAGGAGATAGAAGGAGGGACCCAAAATTAGGGTTCTCTCCCTTAATCCATCGGAGTTATACAAGTTTAGTACATATCACAAATATACCCTTTCCTTCTGACTAATCCCTCTCATGAAACATGTTCATAAAGGTGTGGCTATAAGTTTTATTTTGGTTGTAGACCTACCACAACCCTCTTCTTTTATCGGGGGTAAAAGAGGACATTAACACAATACAGGTGGAGTGTAAAAGATCATTCACATATGCTATATGAAATGAAGTAATGAATTCATTTAGCTTTATATTTCGCTTCATGATATAGAAATGAGAATTAGAATATTGATCAAAGTTATTTAATTGATGTATGTATGGGGTTATTTATGTAATTGTATCCTTGCTGTGTCGTGTGACTCGTGTCCTACCTTTTGAGGATTTTCCATAACATTGTGTCCATGTAATGTTATGTATCCATGTTTATGCAACTTATGTCAGACGTGGTTGAGTAATATTTTCTAATGCAAAAGTTCACTTGTTTTCAATATTTATCCTTGTTGGATAACAAAGTTATTCATTCTGTTAATCATCAACTTCTTAATGATATTTTACGTCAACTAACTGTTGAGATTTGGATATTAAGCTTGCAAAGGTGCATATTTATGTCGTCGAATCACACTATTTTCTCCCTGTCATATTTTATTTATTTATTTTTTTTAATAAAAAAATTTAGCAATTGTCCATATTTCACTTTGGATGAGCATTTACTCATGTTGTCCTTGATTCTACAACTAATTTTATGACATAAAAATTCTACAGACTGTTGATGTGTTTGCTATTGTGGCCTTATCTGGAATTATGAGCAGATTGTTGAGCACTGGAACTGTTCTTGTGGCTACCAGTAACCGAGCACCAAGGGAATTAAATCAGGTAAGTGTTAAATTGGATTCCCCTAAAAATCTTGACCTCCTATCCCATGCCATTTCTTTATTATTTGTTGTCAGGTTTATATATGTGAGCACATCTTGGCTGCTAGCATATTTCATATAATATGGAGTCAGATGGAAGATGCAAATTTGACGTGGATTTATGAAACCAAGTTTTCAACCCGTGGATGCTAAAACTTCAAATTTCACCTATGATTTGATCCAAGTCTGAGTTGTTTAGGCAGGAAATAATGATGCAATTATTAACCAATCATCCACAATATAGAGAGACAAGGATTTACATTGAAAACCCAAACTCGGGAAAATAACCACAGATGCAAACTCCGCTAGTAGAACGATCAAATACAAGACTTACCCAAAGGTCATGAGCAGTTCTGTAGTTCTGATTTTCAACCAGCCTGTTCCAATCATCTCTTGAGCTTTTTTGATGTCCACTAACAGCGTCAATCTACATGAACAAGATTTTTAGCACCTTGCAGTAGATGCATGCATGTGATCCTAAATCTATATGAATGTAGAGCTTACACAGGGAATCAATCACAACACTTAGATTTAGCCAAATGAGATCCCCTAGAACTAGGGAATATGGACAATATCAAAAGCTCATAAGTTTTGTATCTGTCTCTATATCCTTATAAAAGTCATCAAGACAAGTATATATACAGGCAAAAGGAAACCTTAAGAACATAGGAAACAAAGTCCCTAGGATTCTGTACTAACTGACACAGTGCTCTCAAAAGTACACACACTTTCAAACGGATAACTCACTGGAAATCATATTTGTCGCATAATAAGCAGCGTGTTTGAATGAAATAGCAATGCATTTGAACATTAAAGCTTCTGGAATTAAAAAAGTATTTGAAACACCGTTTCAATCTAGCATACAAAGTTGCATTCCAGTGAACAAAGCAACACCTGTTTAGTTAAGGTAGAGTTCGCGTTCAAACAAGCTAGCCATTGAAGCTCAGTTTCTTTTGACTAACATTGAGAAGTCACCAACCAAATTTTATGGTTACTAAAGTCAAGCTCATTAGTTAATTCAGACTTTAGTCCAAAAACTAAATTATTTATAGTAACGAAAAGAAAAATCTCAGTTGGACTATCAAAGATGAAAACAACCCACTGTGATATGCAATGCATGAGTGTTTTACCTTTTCAATCACAGTTTCTTGTATTGATTCTCTTATCTTCAACTACAGATTCTGTTCATGTGACTCAACCAAGTTAACCCGATACAAATGCAATTATTTGGAATGGGTTCGCCAACATAAAAATGAAATTGGAATCCAATTCACCTCCATTGAGACAACAAACTAGTAGATCATCTTTTTTAAGGAATGGAATCCAATTCACCAGCAGTCTGTTCTGGGTTTCAAACTCAATGATGGCAACTAAAACACGAGGGTTGCGCTTATTGTGGGACTTAACCCAACGCCATACGTCACAAGCTGACGACAGCCATTCACCGCTTGTATTTAACTTTTTCCTTGCACAAATTTTCATCCTTGTGCAAGGAGGAGAAGTTCCAAGTTCCCCACAAAAGTTAGTTAAGGGGTTTTTAAAAATTTACCCATTCCTATATGGAGTCTTGTTGGATGTCTCTATCTAATTGCTAGTTGATTTCAGGGATCCAATTGCTGTGAAGTTTCTATGGTTCAAATGTTACAGGTTTTTAGATCAAGCTAATGTTTTGCAACTCTTTTCTTGTTCAGGATGGTATGCAGCGGGAGATCTTTCTCAAATTTGTTGCCAAATTGGAGGAGCAGTGTGAGAATGTCCTGATTGGGAGTGAGATTGATTATCGCCGCATTATTGCACAAAGCTCTATAGTCAAAGTGAGGACTTAAGCAATTTATAATTTGTTTTCGATTGCTTGTTGCAGACGACACATTGTTAATGGCTGTGTAGATGCATGAACTACTTGACACGTTCACAAATTTATATCTGCATGCAAGTCATTCGATCTTTTACCTTTAATTATTTTTTTAAACAGCAATAGGTTTTATTGGAGAACTGCGATGTAGCTACATTTCCATTACCCTGGTTAAACACAGCCATATCAGAAGGACAATGCACAAATTAAATGATATAAATTTTATATTTTGACAATTCCAAATGATACCTAACCTCCTCATCTTCTTAAATGCTTAAGCAATCCTCTTAGGGTTGAAAGGATCATTTTTTAAGAGTAAATTTTGACAAATCCAAATGATCCCTAACCTCCTCATGTTCTTGCATTTGTCTTTCTAAATGCTTAAACAATCATTTTAGGCCCTGTTTGTTTTTTGAATTGAAGAGCTGGACTGGTTTGTTACTCTATTCAGGAGCACCAATATTGTTGGAATATGTCTCACATCGCCTGGAGTTGCCCCATTTGTGTTGGTTATAAGGCTCCTGTTTCTCTTTCCTTAATACATGAGTTTTAAGAAGTGTGGGCAGAGCTTTTTAATTTGATATCAGAGCTTGGTTGGGCCTGTGACTGGTGTGCCGTTTGTTCGGCTATTGTATGTTATGGTCTAGGAGGGTGTGTTGAAATTTGTCCCACATCGCTTGGAGTTGCCTCATCTGTGCTGGTTATAAGGCTTCAATTTCTCTCTCCTTAATACTTGGGTTTTAAGGAGAAGTGTGGGCTGAGCTTTTCAATTAATATCACGTTTGTTTGCAAAATGGAGGTCTGGATTGGGAGTTCGTTCGGACTATGAAAGTCCTTGGAGGAGGACGTCTGGCCGGTTGTCCGACCCAATTGCAATTTTTATTTTTATTTTTTCAAAACCATGGGCTATTGTGAAAAACCATGGGCTGTATTTTTTATTTATTTTTTATTTTTTGTTCTATCATTAGTCTTAATTTATTTTATATAAAAATAATTTAACAATCCCCACTCTAACAACTATCATCAAACAAATACAATTTTACTTGATCTCCTCACTAACAATCTCATCCATCCTGTCTCTGAAAACAAAAGAGGCCTTAGGACTGAAAAGATCATTTTTTTAAGACTGAACTTTAAATGACTGAAAAAATCAATCTGCCAACTGGTCTTTGAAAGATTAGGTAAACACCCTATATACCCCTAACCAGGAGCATAAAGATGACTATATAGCTTATGCAAGTTGTCAGTAGATGAAAAGATGATGTAACAATTTCTTTGAGTCAAGGTGGTAGTGTGGAGAGTAGGTAAAGTGGAGGTGGTAGTGGTAGTGGGTTAGGTTTAGTGGAGTAGGTGAGGTGGTAGTGGTGGTAGGTTTATGATAAATTCTAACAATTCCAGTAAATAGTTAACTAAGGAAGACATATCTTGAAGGAAACACTAAAGCGTCAAACAATTTTAATAGATTGTGAATATTCTTGATTTCAAGAGTAGATGAGTTATCTCTCTCTCTATCTCTCTCTAAAATTGCAGAAAGAAAGAATGGAAGTCATATCTTGATTACCATGATGAGTCTCCAGTTTTTGTCCTCAGTCACATTAAAAGATAAAAAGGGGAAAAAAAAAAAAAAAGAAAGAAAGAAAGAAAAAGAGGGAAATATTAGCATGTTTCAACTTTATCAGTGTGTATTAACAAGGTTTGACACTAGGTCTCATTATAATGTATTGTAGTAATCTTATTTGAAAAGCTTTAATGTGAAAGATGAATACATCTTTTTATTGATCCACCCACTGGGGGGAGCCATACTTGCACCTATCCTAAAAGTCATCATGATTTGGATTTCAGACGTGATCTCAAGACCAGTGAGAGCCATGGCAAATGGAAATACTGAATAAGTTCAGTGACCTCCTTTCTTTTTTTGAGTGCATAGCGAATCCCAACTAACTGATAGGTTTTGAAACCCTTGTGAATCTCTTTTCATAGATAGTTTTTAGTGGCCTTTCTAATTTCGGCGACAGATATAGAAATTTTGAGTGAGAAAATTAGATAGTAAAATTATAATGTTTTCTTGATTGAGCAAATCACGTCTAGAAAGAAGCATGTATTTCCAGTGGCTAAGATGTCACCTTTTTTTTATCGGTGAAAATTAGTGGTTAGCTGTTAGATTAGCACCTAGGGGGAGTTGAACTCACACCCTCTCCTTGCAAGCACTTAAGTCTTGCCTCTCATTCCACTCCTAAGAGTGGAACCCAAGACCTATCCTTTGGAGAGACTTGGTAGCCAAAGGGCTTGCCACACAGGCTACAACCCCTTGGTTTCTCACTTTTTTCTTTTTTTTTGGTTTTGTTGATAAAGCTAAGATGTCACTTTCACTTCTTTTAATAGCTGTACCATGCAACTCTGTGTTTAAATATCTTTTATGTGGTTAAAATTTCATTAATCTGCAGGTTCACTACTTCTGGCCTCTGGATAGCATTAGAATAAAAGAGTTTGATAATGTGTGGAATGAGGTTACAAGACAATCTGGAGGAAGGCTCACCTCTGATACTATTCCTGTCATGTTTGGGAGGTACCTTGAAATGTAATGTTACTATACCTAGATTGCCTTTCTTCAGATTAATGATGTACATTTTTTCCTCATCAGAATGTTGGAAGTTCCTCAATGCTGTAATGGGGTAGCACGGTTCAAATTTGATTATCTATGTGGTCGGCCGGTAAGGCTTGCTTTTTCTTTAAGTTTGTAAATTTAATTATTGATTTTGATTTTTCTCACTGCATACATTCACTGACAACATAGATTTTTTTAGTTCCTTTCTTGTTTTGTTTGATTGTTGTTTGCTTTCTTTCCCTAAAAAGTTGACACTGTCAAAATAATTTTACTTTCAGCAATAGATGAGGTATCTTTTGTGCATGGTTCACAAGTAATGATGGCAGTTGTGACTTCAAGATGAGTAACACAATTTGTGGACAAGCCTGGTAATCATTAAGTGAACTCCTCACATTGTTTAGATATTGTTGAGTGCTCACAATTGGTGCATCTGATGTTTGCTACTATCAATATCTTTGTGCAGTATGACACATTCTAAATGTTGTATGCTACATATTTATATTAAGAAATATGAATATTTTTCCATGTCCCCATGTATTGAACTTGGGATTAGATGAATCTGGAGACTTAGAAACATACCCGAACCCGACACCCGAACCCGAGTCCATATAACATAGGATGAGTTAGTTCTAATCGACTGGGTGTAGCTTTTACCCAGAAATGAATAATTTGAGAATCCTAGTAATATGAATGTGGACAAGTTGTTCATATAGTTAAGAAATTAAGATACATGGATGAAAGACGTAAAAGCATTGAACTGAGGCCAAGTTTGGCATGTCTTGAAAAAGACAAAAAGTAAAAAAGTTACTATTCTATTTAAGTCATATCATCTTATTTAAGTCACATCATCTTTCTAACACATCACTTCAAACCCAACCCAAACCTAACCCATATTTCATAAAAAGTCAAAAAGTACACTTATTTAGATCAGCCCAAACAACCCCTAAAAGTAACCTGTTTATGATGAGTTTTTATCTGTTAGACTCATGACCCTCTTATCATTGTGCATTTAAATTAGTGCTTTTATCTGAGTTGCTATTTTAGTGTTTTGGAGCCAAAGGCACTGGATGCTTATCCCATGTATTAGCATTTTCTAGCAACTATTCAAATATTATCTGCAATATTGAAATGCCTCCTTTTAAACTTGCAATTTCAGTTCCAAGAAAGAGGCTTAAATTGGCTCAATTATTATTGTTATTATTATTATTTTTAGTCTCATTTTGCAAGATCAGCTTACAATTCTTGGGAATCAATCAAAAAAATAGCCGCTAACTCTGGAGAGTAGGTTTTTGTTTGAACCAATAATATGATGAAGTTTATGTTTTTCCTTGGAATTTTTTTGAACCCCTCCAATTCATTCTTTCTTAAACAGAAAGTGAAGCAGGTGGGGACTTGCATTTAACCTTGTTCCATTTTACTCACTAAGAATCAAAATTTTACATTCAATTGTGAATGTGGGGCTTGGATTGTTGGTGAGGACAGAATGGTTTAGTTAAAATTCTTCTTGATAACCTGTACAGATGTCCCTTGATAATTGTTGAATGTATAGATGAGAAGAAGAATAAGAATAAGAAGAAGAAATAGAACGAGAGAAAGCTGCTATATATTATTGATTCAAAAGCATAGGGTTTTCCCCTTACACACAACTACTTATACTAATACATAAAGACCAAACTACTCCTAACACTTAACACTCCCCCTCAAGTTGGTGCAAAGATGTTTCTCATGCCCAACTTGTAACAAATAGGGTGAAAGACTTTACTACTAAGACCCTTAGTAAAAACATCTGTCAGTTGATCTTCAGACTTAATAAAAGGCATACATATCACGCCTTTATTCAATTTCTCCTTAATGGAATGTCTGTCAATCTCAATATGCTTAATCTGGTCATGTTGAACAGGATTGTGTGCAATACTAATAGCAGTCTTGTTGTCGCAATACAAAGTCATGGGACCACTCCAATGAAGCCCTATATCACTCAACAAAGATTGAAGCCACATTAGTTCACATGTTCCATGTGCCATAACTCTGTATTCAGCTTCAGCACTAGATCTAGAAACGACCGCCTGCTTCTTACTATGCCATGTGACTAGATTTCCCCCCTACAAAAGCACAATAACAGGAGGTAGAGCGTCGGTCATCTATAGAGCCTGCCCAATCTGCATCTATGAACTCTTCTAACCTCAAGTGACCATGATTAGAGAACAAAATTCCTTTTCCAGGGGCAAATTTAAGGTACCTCAAAATGCGATAGATTGCATCCAAATGAGTTGCACGAGGATCATGCATAAACTGACTCACTATCCCAACTGCATAGGCAATATCTGGACGAGTATGAGAGAGATATATCAGTCTTCCCTCAAGTCTTTGGTACCTTTCCTTCTCCACAGGCTCACCAATTCGACTACAAAGATGATGATTAGTCTCAATTGGTGAATCAGCTAGTCTGCAGCCCAACATGCATGTTTCCTCAAGAAGATCTAGAATGTACTTCCTTTGAGAAATAAAGATGCCTTTATCAGATCTAGCAACTTCAATCCCAAGAAAGTATCTCAATGGACCAAGTTCTTTCATCTCAAACTCCTTGGCTAATTGCATCTTGAGATGGGTCACCTCCTCCTCATCATTACCTATCACAACTTTGTCATCCACATATACAATATGCACTATTACCTTATGTACATTGCGTTTGACAAACAAGGTGTGATCCACATTGCTTTGCTGATACCCAAATATTGCCTTGAGGAATCTACCAAACCAGGCTCTAGGAGATTGTTTCAAACCGTACAAAGCCTTCTTTAATCTACAGACCTTTCCAACTGTAGACTGAGATAAGAATCTCGGAGGTACATCCATATATACCTCCTCCTCCAAATCCCAATGAAGAAAAGCATTCTTCACATCTAGTTGCTGTAGAGGCCATCCCAAATTAGCTGCACATGACAGAATAGCTCGAATGGAATTCATCTTTGCTACCGGGGCAAAAGTTTCTTGATAATCTATTCCATATGTTTGGGTAAATCCCTTGACCACTAGTCTTGCTTTGTACCGTTCAATCGTCCCATCTGCATTGTGCTTAATGGTGAACACCCACTTGCATCCGACTGGTTTTTTTCCCATTTGGAAGAGACATCAACTCCCATGTGTTATTTTTACTCAAAGCTTGCATCTCTTCTACTATAGCTACCTTCCACTTAGGATCATTGGTGGCTTCTTTCCAACCTTGCGGAATACACACAGAAGAAAGGGACGAAACAAAAGCACGATACGGAGAAGACAACGAATCATATGACACGAATTTAGAAATAGGGTGTTGAGTACAACCTCTAACCCTCTTTCTGAGAGCAATAGGAAGACTCAAATCATCCGTAACAGGACCATCAACAACAGGTGAAGAAATGAGATGAGGATCATTACCTGAAGCGTTAGTGGAAACTGGGTGTGGAACTGACATAGGAGATGATGATTGACTTGGTGGCACAAGAGAAACCGGCTTTTTCTGACGCCGTGAATAAGTCTTAAGATCAGCTCTGTCCAAACGACCACCGATATCGGACTCCTCATCAACAGAACTTCTAGGCTCCCCCTTATCACAAATAACAGCCCGCTGAGTAGGAAGGAAAAAAGACAACTCATGCTGATATGATGCCGTCTCATCCGTAATCTCATCGATACCACGCTCCCCCTGAGGAGATGGCGGAGGACCAGAAAAAAATGACTCAGATTCACGGAAGGTGACATCCATACTAACATACAACTTATGAGAGTAAGGGTCATAGCATTTGTAGCCTTTCTGAGTAGCAGAATAACCAAGAAAGACACACCGGACAACCTTAGGATCAAGCTTCTCACGAGTACGAGGTTGAAGATGAACAAAACAGACACTACCAAAAACTCGAGGCGGAAGGGAAGAAGTGGGATAAGTCACAGGAAGAAGCTCAAGAGCAATTTGGAAGTGGAGGACACTAGAGGGCATACGGTTAATAAGGTAAGCCGCGGTAAGAACCGCATCCCCCCAAAAGGACTTAGGAACGTTTATGGTAAACAAGAGAGAGCGAGCAACCTCAAGGAGATGGCCATTCTTACGTTCAGCAACTCCATTCTGTTTAGGAGTGCCAACACCACTAGTTTGATAAAGAATGCCATACTTGTCGAGGTATGCTCGGAAAGCGCCATCAACATACTCAATCCCATTATCACTCCTAAGAATTTTGATAGTAGCATTGAAGAGATTGGATTCCATTTTATAAAAACTTTTGAAGCATGAGAAAATCTCATTTTTTGTACGAAGTAAATAAAGCCAAGTCACACGAGAATAACAATCAATAAATGTGACAAACCATCGATAACCAGAGGTAGAAACAACAGGGGAAGGACCCCACACATCGATATGAATAAGCATACACGGAAAAGTACTTCTTTTATTAATTGAAGGATAACAAGTACATTTATGCTTAGCAAGCTCACAAGCATCACAAACAAAGCTATTCCTAGGACAATCACGAACTAATAAAGGAAAAAGTTTCTCTAAAATGCTAAAGGAAGGATGCCCTAAACGGCAATGCCACTGATGAAGGAGACGAAGAGAGGAGCCAGAAGTGCATTGAAGAGCCAGAGAGGACAAAGGTGAGGCAGGAATGGCATCCAAAAAGTACAGACCACTTTGTGCTCTACCACTGCTAATCATTTTCCCCGTAGCCAATTCCTGAAAGACATAATGAGTTGGAAAAAAGGTTACAGAGCAATTGAGAGCAGTAGTAAAGCTACTAACAGAAAGTAAGTTAGTTGAAAAATTAGGAACATGAAGAACAGATGAAAGCGAAAGTAAAGAGGTGCAATGAACAGAACCATTGCCGGAGATAGAAGATAAAGTGCCATCAGCCACTCTAACCTTATCTTGCCCAGAACTAGGTGAATAAGAATGGAAAAAACTAGAAGTACCCGTCATGTGATCGGTAGCACTGAAATCAATGATCCAAGGAGATGATGAAGAGGCACTGAGTGCAAGTCATGGGACCACTCCAATCAAGCCCTATATCACTCAACAAAGATTGAAGCCACATTAGTTCACATGTTCCATGTGCCATAGCCCTATAGTCAGCTTCA